TATCACATCTAGTAACCTAGTCACTTCAATCGTTACCGTAACCACGGACTGATAGCAGTCGAGTTGCGGGTTCAACCCCCACAGAGGTCAAATGGAATGCGCATTACTGACGATCCTTGAGTATGTGAAACAGCCGTGCAGCGCTTTTTCGGACATGTGATGGTTATCTAACTGAGTCTGTCTGTGATTGATTTCTGCTTAATAAATAAACTCGAAACGGAGATAATGTCGATCGCCTTCTTTAACAACTTCCCACTGCGGAGGGTTTCGTGTTCCACTTCCTTTATACTGTCATCATTATTTTTCTGTTTAAACGTTCACATCGGCTTGCCTAGTGCCCACCCAATTCAACGATGCTCCGGATCCAGATTGATTACACTGTCATCAGCTGCAGACAGAATACATCGTGCAGGCAAGTCAGTCCGTCTTGAACGTCTATCTGTGAATCTGATCGCCTTGTGCCCGCCATCACGACTCCAGTGGATGACCAGTGAATGCCTTCTTATTCGCCATCTGAACCCACAGTCTGCACCTATGAAGCATAAAGCCTAACTGGTTCGTCGGCTCTCACTGACGAACGATGTGGATCACTAACCAGATGCACACTAATCTCTCATCAACTCTGGTGTGCGAAAAACATTCGAAACTATCGTCATCCAGAGTTGAGGCGTCTCAAACAGTTTTGTTTTGCAGCTTGGATAACCACACCTGAAACGCGATGGTGCTTCCGTCGGAAGATGTTTTTGAAGCGTTTGTTGCACTTGGGAACAATGTTCGACTGGGAGCATCACTTTTGACAAGGGGGCATAAATCGGCTGGTGTCCGAGTGATCTGCACGCCTGGCTTGCAACCATAAAGTAACCGGTTCGATTCCGCGTGGGCTTGGGAATCCTCCCGACAAACTCAGCCCATGCGTAACTGGTGGAGGTCGCGCGACAGCAAAGCGCCGTTACGGCGTATAGCTGACAGGGTGTATAAGTAGATGGCTACGGCTCTTGTGTTATAGATGGTACAGCGTCTACATGCTTGGTGTTCCAGCCGGTTAGATACATAAATCTAGCAGTCTACGGAGGGTGAACCTATAGTTGGTTCCTCCCCAGACACGCTGGAGTTGTCTGGAAAGCTTTCAACATACCTGAACCATCTACTGTGGTGCATTGGTGTGTTCACACCTCCCACGTTGGGAGAAAGGTGGCGAATTAACTTTGTTTTGACAGAGCAAGTGCGTCGAGTCCGCGCGCATGCTTTATTCATTTCTGGTGGAATACGAAGTAACCTAGTCAGTAGCTGCCCTAACACGTCCTTTCATTGCTCCATGTGAATTAAAAAGATACCTTCACACTTACAGTTGTCCTCGTCATAACCATTTCGTACATATAAACTAGATCCTACCCTAATTTGCACTACGTCCTTAGCTTATCCATGAGGTTCTACCTCGTGGTTGATCCTCTACGACCATCAGCACCATAGCTCTCGGAATCGTGTGTAAAACTGAAAGTCTTGGGGCTAATTGTTCGCAGCTCTGTCAACATCCCTTTGTTTTATCAAATTTTTACGTTATCATGCACTACGTGGTAGTATTCTCAAGCCAGTTGCAGCAGAATACCACACGCCAATGGCTCAGCCAAACAAATAATCTTGGATGGGCGGGTTTACTGTTCCACTGGTAACCGGTATGTGGCGTGATCATCCTTAGCGCGTAAACACTGACTGTATTTAGTTTGATTCCTTCAACCATGCGCCTGACGAGGCAGTACTACACACAGATTGCGTCATAATCGTCGAGCAAATACACCGCCAAATATCGCCACGGTTATAGGCGGCTGGGTATTGCACTACGCCGCGTGAATCAATTGCAGCTAGTAATTATGGTCGTTACATCGCTGTGAAGCCTCGTTTGATCATTGCCAATTACTTGGCACCGACCCGTATCCTAAAGTATCACAAGCCTGCCTTGTAATCCGAGGGCGTGCGTTCGAACCTGCATAGGGGATTGGTCGACCCTCTCAATATTCGTAGCCCATGCGCAACTGCTGGCGGTTACGCGGCAGCGAAGCGTGCCGGCGTACTGCTGGTACTCTTCTTTCAACGTTTGTCAATCGCTGACCGCATTTTCGGGCTGATTTTAGTCTTACTTCACTGTTAATTACTATCACCTGCCGGATACGGTAACAAAATTCGTCGTTCACGGTGCAAGCCTGATTTCTTTGTCAATTGGGAACGCGAATTCCGTTCGTTTACATTTGACTCATCACTACAATGCTCATGTGGGTAACTCTCAGCGTAAAGAAAAACGCTGGACTGTTACTTTGTTCACACTAATCCCATGTACTTAGTAGAGCACAAACCATGCATTATTGTGTTGTCTAATCTAAAGTTCGATTTCGAGAATTCGTTGCTCTCTACAAGAAAATAACGTACACGTTCTTGAAGCGTGAGTCGTACTATATCATCTCTGGTAAATTTGCCATATTGGCCGTTGCCATCCCTGGTAGCCTAGTGGTGTCACTCACCTATTATTAGACTACGGTCGAAGACTTTAGCACCACAAGAGGCGCAGGAGTGTCCTCTGCTAGTTACTTTCGAGAAAAACGAAATAATTGTTCACTGCTTTTACCAGATGATACTTGTTGTCGGACTGGGTCTATTTGTGAAGATTTTATTGCTTTTTTATCGCCCAAATTGCTTAGTATATGTAAAGGTAGATATGAGCTGGAAATAAGAAAATCGGAAGACAATGGTTATGGGATGCCACTTTTATTTGGTGCATTCTCGTCGTACACGTACATGCAACTAACAAAGGAACCAAAATAGCTGACGGTGACACTAAGCCTACCGTGGTACCTTGTAACGCACCAATCGATTTCATGTGACCTTATTTTGTCTCCTTTGCTATTTGCATGTACGTTACCGACAAGAATGCATGAAATGACGGCATCATCTCGCAAAATTCGTCTACTGATCCTTTTTCTTTGAAACTGCGAAGTGATCTGATTTAGGTTTTTGGTTGCTCGTGGAACAGAAACAAATGCACCCGATTTTCAGCGCACCAGAACTTGAATTACTTGCCAAATATGCATCCACTTAGTGATGTTTTCTTGTCGTCTCACTTTATGTGCATCAGCTGGAAAGCAAAAACCGTCTGTGTTTTTACCCATTCTTCGGCCTTACAATTGTTTGCTACTCTTGTGCCAAATTAGCTCGAGCTATTCCGAACGTCCCTCCTCATATAATCCCAACCGCGTTTTCTAGATGATGCAGCCTCTCGTTGAAAGCTCCGTTCACTCGAACGCACTTGTGCACATTGTGCTTCAGGTAACACTGCATAGGTGACAGTTGGTGAGATGTAAGCATCACGCCAGTGCCAAAAAAGGAAGTTGCAAATGTCGGTTACGCCTGCGCGTTGGTTGCTTTGAAGATATTTGAAAGCATTATTCTTAATAGAATTTAAGCCCAGGTGATTTTGTACGATCCCCTTCAGTTTGCATATCGCATCTCAAGATCCAGCTTAGATGCAGTAGCATATGTGATACATACACCGTACTGTCATCAATAGCTAATAAAAACAAATTCATCCGCATCTGTTTCCCAGATTTTATTAGTGATTTCGGTTGCGTGAACCGTGACCTGCTGTACACGACCTATCAAGTTCTGAAGTTCAAACTTTGGTTGTTCTCTTGGAAGAGTATTTTATAATGCGTTCCAAGTTTACCAGATTCTTTTTTGGGATGGTGGAACCACTCACTACGGATTTTGGTGTTCTTCAGGGAGCCATTTTGCCCCTATTTCTATTTTCCACTTACATTACTTCAATCACCGTCCCTGGAAAAGCCATCATTCTGAAGTATGCGAACGACGTATTTTTTGGCGTCCTTCATACAAGCATAGATTTATCAGTCGAACAACAAATGCTGCTAGATATCACATCCCGTTGCCTACAGTTAAACACCGCAAAATGCAAGCATGTCCATTTTTCACTGTTCAAAGAAAAACGCTTCCAGCAACTTTCCATCGATGATGAAGATTTGACCTATTCCACTTCAGTAAAATACCTAAGAGTAACATTTACCGGTGGACTTACGTGATCCCTTAATGTGAAAACATTCACTAAAGTTGGGAGACTCATTCTGTTACCCATCTCAGATCTTCTTCCGTACCCCGTCTTTTGATCCAGATTTTTCATCACTGCATGTCTGTTACCCTACTGGACCTATTGCTCTTTCGTGATCTTTCCTAGTCTCTTGGGTAAGGACCTCAAAGTGATTACCAGATCAGTGAAGCACCTATCCCGGTGTGGTGGCATTTCAAAGCCTGAACTTGTTAACCTCATTGTATCCACGCATGTTATCAAGCTTGCATTTGCACTATTCACTGTTGTTAGCCACCCCCCCTACAAGGCGTTGTCCGAATGCATATCAATCTCTTCTAGCAGACAGAGCTACACAACTGCATACCCCCTCACAAGGGCTTATGGTACGTCAGTAGTTACATGTTTATAAAGTTTTTTTGACGAAGAATCAGTCATTGAAGAGCTGGTTAGTAAATTACTTCAGTGACGTTAGTTCCGTCAACATTTGTGCCCGTTGTAGTTCTATATCTATCCTCATGTATCTTTCTATTTGATTATTTATATCTGTCTTGGCGATTGTGTTCGCCCTTCATGGATGCATAAAGCACATTCCTGACTTGACTTGCAAGAATAACAGTCATCTGTTAGCATTATAATTCTTCTGCTGAAAGTTTTTCTAGCTGACTACTGCATCTCCTTTTTGAATGGTTTGGCATTATCGACTTTAAACAGATGGTCAATGTAAAATACACCTTTTTCAATTGGGAAATTGATTTTCCTACCATTTACTTGCTAATGCGCTCTGTTCCTTTGCTGATTGTGAGATCAGTGTTTCGCCTATTTTCAACTGCATACCTACTCTTAAATAAATAAACAAATGGTTTATTCTCAAATTCATCATCATCTGCCTTTTTCATCCGAACCTGACCAGGTCTTCCTCATCCTTCTCGCATTAATGCCTACACGAAGCCGATTTCATTTGATTCGAACTCGTCCCGAAAGGCCAGTGTTTTACTTACCCTGGGGTGAACCACTTTCCATCTCTTACTTGGCTGCACTTTCTACCCAAGTCTACCTGCGGTGTGAACAGATGTACGGCACTTCTTGCTCAGTAAGTTGCTGCTTTAGTTCGCATTCCGGACTGGTTTGGGACGCGTGCTTTTTCATTATAGGTATTTACATCATACGCATTGTTTCCCCTTCTCTTCCCCACTTGCTTCATACTTGGTTGTTACGAGAGTGATCAGTACCTTCCAATAGTGTGCCATAAATCGCAATTGGTGAATTAATCCGGTCACACTTTCAATGCTGGTGGGTTTGAATTGGATTTTTGAGACGATACTACCATTTGAGCCAACTATTCGGTTGAGAACACACTTAGAAATAGCCGGCTTATGGGCGTGTGAACGGGGATCTACTTTACGCTGAGAACTTTCCCCCAGCAAACACCTTTTCTCGACCCTGATCTGGGGGATCTAGTTCAGTTGGTTTTTCGAAAGCTTCGCTTCTAATCATTTATTGCTATTCACTCCTACTACCGAAGCAATGAACACTTTCAGTATGCTACACAGGGTTTCTCATGTATGCGAAGCGATGCTCACTTCTCTGCTTATTTTTATGATATCTCTACCACATGGTCAGGCTACAATGCGAAGCGAGACACTCCCTGGACTCATCTACACGGATACAGTTCTTATTCAATTTTAATGCTCAATAAGTAACACTATTGACGATTTTCCTTACGGTATACGTCTTAGTTAATAATATCTGTTTGACTTCTGTGTTATCCAAAGTTCTCGAGAAGGTTGTGAAAACGTGTCCACTGTCGTTCTTCGAATCGATGAACGTATTGAGGCCAGCGCAACACCGCATCACCAACATAATGTACGCAAACCACCAGTGGGTACGAGCTCCCAATGAGCAGAAGGGTGTTGACGTGGTGTACATCGACTTTAGTAAGGCGTTCGACAGAGTGAACCACGTGGTACTCCTTCGTAAACTGATGACATACGGAATCGGTGGCACATTACTTCAGTGGTTACACGAGTTTATTAGGGGAGGAAGGTTTAGAGTACAGCTCAATGACAACCTGACAGACAGGTTCCCATCGACCAGTGGCATGCCTCAAGGAACTGTACTTGGGCCAGTATTATTTCTTCTTCATATCAACGATCTTCCGCAGCAGCTCCAGTCACCATGTGCTCTATTTGCAGATGATTTGAAAATCTGGAGGATCATTGAGAACCAGGACGACTGCGCTCGTCTCCAGCATGACTTAGAGCGACTGTCAACGTGGTCCACTGAAATGCAACTCCCTCTTAACGCAAGCAAGTCGGAGTTCATCAGTATCACCAGACGTTCAGCCACTCGATTATACACCTTGGACGGCCAGTTGCTCCACCCCAACACATCTGTCAGAGACGTAGGAGTTCTCTCGCGACATGATATGAGATCACTAGAAAATACAGAGAAATTGTACCCTGCGGGACTTCGTATGATGTGGGCATTAAGACGCAGTTTCTCCACATGGTCCGAAGAAATCGTCCCTCGTCTATTCACCTCGCTCATTAGACCAATCCTTGAATACGGTGCCCCAGCTTACCATCCGATAACCCAATGGGAAACTGAAAAGCTGGAGAAAATACAGCATATCGCATCTAGAATGATACCGACCCTACCAAAGCTTCCGTATGAAAAACGTTGTGAAAGGCTCGGACTCTATACACTATCCTATCGCCGAGTAAGAATTGACCTTATTATAACCCATCGAGTACTACACTTGAATCACTTCCCCATACTGCGGCCACCATTTCACCTGCGGGAACCCTGTAACACCCGAGGACACCGTTACCAACTCAGGGTCCCCTGCATGAACAAAGTATCACATCAGCTTTGTATCGAACGGAGAATCGTAAACTTATGGAATACACTACCAGCAGGCCGATTCTGTGAAGTGCTTTAAACTCCGTGTCGACGATTATTTCGGAAACCTGTGCTTTTGTGAAACGATGCACATACAATGCCAAAAAAAGATATCGTAGGCCCGGAAATAATGACACCAATACAAATTCCTAACCGAACAAGGATAAACTGATAACTGACCAGACACAACCGCTGATAATTCACAACTAAATGTTTTTGATTTTTCTTAATTCGATAGTGTTGCACAGAAACCTTTCTACTTGCTCTTAAATACAGTCTCAGTTTCAGCCAGAGAGCCATCACATGCTCCGTAAAGCGCTATACAGCCGTTTAATCCTTTCGGAAATCGTCAGCAGTTCGCATCCCATTTGGTCCCTGTGTAATCGCACCCGCAATCTAACTGTTACCGGCCCGTTTTGAAGACCACTTAGCTACGGGATTCGGAAACGACAGACAGTGATACACAAAAACTGTCCTGCGTACACCATACGTTTGACGATAGAGGATGAACCGATAGACATGGAGCTAGATACTTTGACGACGGTCACCATTATAAACCGCGGTTCAACAAAAAGCTACCGTCTTTACAACCGTGCAACTCGAGATTAAAGAGATACACAGGTGATCCAATTCAGGTGTTGGGCAGATGTTTCGTCAAGGCCAGGCACGGGGAGTGAGAATTCACCCTACCCATAATCGTTGTACCTGTGAACAAACGGGATCTCATGGGTCGAGACCTGCATACAATACTTTACCGAGACCATGCAACTCAACCAACTCATTGTTGAAGGCGGCAATTTGAATGGATTATTGAATCAATTCGCATCGTTGTTTGAAAACAAATTGAGAAACTGCGTCATTTCAAGACTTCTATCTGACTTCGAGAGGATGCCGAGCCAAAATTTTACAAAGCTAAATCATTAACTTTATCAATACGCCCTAAAGTTGAGGCAGAGATACAACGTCTGCAATCACGAGGACTCATAGTTCCGGTGCCATGTCCAGATTGAGGCACTCCGATTGTACCTGTACTCGAACCTGACGACTCCGTGCATATTTGCGAAGACTACAAATTGACAGTCAAGCAAGCGTCGAAAGTGTAAAAATATCCCCTACCACATATCGTAGACCAGTACGCGACTTTAGCCGGCGGCCAAAAGTTTTCCAAGCTAGATCTCAGTCACGCATACTCTCAGGTCGAACTTGATGACAAGTCACAGGAACTGACCACAATAATTACCCACCTGGGACTATTCCAGTACATGCGACTCCCTGTTTGGAATAAATTCAGCACCCAGCATTTTCCAACGGATCGTGGATAATATAGTTAAAGAGATACCGTTCACCTATGCATACTTGGACCATATCCATGTTACTGGCCGCAGTGACGCTGATCATCATTACGAACTGTTCTCCTGTATCTGGAAGAGTGTGGGTTGAAATTAAAAAAATCCAAATGTGTGTTCTTATCCGATTCTGTCTGTTACCTTGGTAACATACTGGACAAAACCGGTTTGCATGTCCTGCAAAATAAAATATCGCCTATTGTGCAGACACCTCAGCTCAGATCATTCCTAGGAATGTTGTCGCACTATCATCATCGTTTCCTACCGGATACCTCAACCATTCTTGCTCCATTGAACAAACTGCTACACAAAAACATCCCGTAGATGTGGAGAAGTCTGCATCAATCTGCATTTACATATGCAAAGAAGTGTCTTGCTTCCGCACCTGTTTTGGTTCATTACGATAGTGAAAATCCATTAATCTTACAGTGTGACGCCTCTCCATACGGAGTCGGAACAGTTCTATGCCACAAAATGTCAAAGAGTATCATTCACCCGATTGCGTTTGCTTCACGAACTTTACAACCCGCCGAAAAGAATTATTCCCAGTTGGATAAAAAAGCCCAGTCAGTTACATTTGGCGTCAAGGTTTCATCAGTGCATTTGGGGCAGCTATTTCGAAATACAAACTGACCACGAACCACTGATATTCTTACTGAGCGAGTCAAAGGGAATCGAGCAGATATTTTCACCGAGAATGCAACGCTGGGCATTAATATTAAGTGCGTATAAATATCGCATCTCCTACATTCCTGGGTTGAACAATCATACAGTGGATACATTAAGCAGGTTATCATATGCGACCCCGTAAGAAATCAGTAGAGCAAGTACATCTAATGCAACACCTCGACACCACTCCATTGACAGGTGACATCATACGTCATTGGATCGATCGTGACCCAGCACTATCTTCTATAGTACGATTTACAAAAACTGGCTGGCCTACTACAGTTCCCGTCGATTTTAAACCTTACGGACAACGAAAAAATGAATTGAGCCTTCACGACGGATGCTTGTTTTAGGATTCCACCGCAAAAGGCACGACCGTTCATTCTAAAGGAACTCCACAAAGCACATCCAGGCGTAGCCCGAATGAAAGCCTTGGCACGCGGTTATTGCTGGTGGCGTGGCCTAGATTCAGAAATAGAGACCTATCTAAAAACATATAGTCTGCGCCAGCAGTATCAGTCAAATAAACCTCTCGGTCCGGTACACTCAAGACATTGGCCTGCAAAGCCATGGCAGCATATCCATGCAGACTACTTTGGACCTATTAACGGTGTATTATTCCCGCTAATAATTGACGCCCATTCGAAATGGATCCATTTTTACCCCGTTTCCCACCCTACTACCGAGACAACTATTTCCAAAATGCGGTCCTCATTTGCCATATTTTGGGATACCAGGGACACTCTGCACAGACGATGGCGCATGTTTCACTAGCAAAGAATTCGAAATCTTCATGAATAGAAGTGGTGTCCAGCACGTCCGTACAGCTCCATATTACCCTGCTTTTAATGGGCTAGCGGAAACGACGGTACAGACAATGAAAAGAAGTCTCTCGAAACAAGAACCAGGAACTGTTCAGACGAGGTTAGATCGCTTCCTGTTTGCTTACAGCATAACGCCAACGGAAACCACCGGTAAACCATTTGCAGAGATAATGTTTGGCCGAACACTCCGTACCAGACTGGGTCTTCTGTTTCCAAATTATAGAGCACAAATGGTGAGGAAACAAGAATAGGCTGCCGCATCGTAAGATGACCACGACTCTAGTTGGCAGCCGGGTGATCCCGTATACACACGACTTTCCCATGAGCGCTGTTGGCAATCCGCAGCCGTA